GGGGGCTCATGCAAGTACAAAATGTATAAAAATAAATTTATCTCATTGGAAAATCGTTTATATATATATATATATAAGTATTGTAACCCCGATATCGTTGCCGACACTGAAAAGAGAATCGTAAATTACCATTACAAGTTTATATGATTTTTATAGTGATGGATTGCAAGATTTTAATTTATATAAATGAGATTGATTATGGAGATGCGAAATATGGAGGAAAATGTGTGTGTGGTGTTGGAAGAGGGAAAAAACGGGGAATATTTAGGGAACAAAGAGGTGGCGGGTGGGAGGCACCGAGGCTGCTGCTGAGAGTCATGTGGAGGCATTACGACCTCCAGAGAGGTCGATGCCTCACCTCAACCTCATATATCACCCACACATGAAATATATATGTGTTAGTGGACATGTGTTTAAGTGTTTATAATGGCAAGGAAGAGATGTGTGTGTTATACCTCTGACTCAGCAGTAGGTTCAGGTTAGTAGGTTCAGCATGTGTTGAGTGGACATGCAGGTGTTTAAACATGCAACATAGCCACTCTGACATGCAATAAACATGTATTTAGTGTTAGCAGTGAGGTGATAGTCACTGCAGCATCACTGTGGGGGAAAAATTATTGGTGGCCGGCGTCTCCCGACACACTTATAACGGTTTATCTGCGGATATATTCACTGGTGATACTTGATATTGAGTGTAATACAAGAGTAGATATGATGGATCATCAGTCCATCAGTGTAAGAGTCATCATCAGTGAGAGAAGAGTCAAGTTTAACATATATAACAACAGCAGCTGCCTCCCTACACAACATAAATATTACTTATCATAGTACGAGCCTAACTACTTTTTTCATTAATTTGATCAAAATTATGTAATGTGCACCCCTAAGGGGAGGTTCATTGATGCTTTTGATCCACGGAATTGGATCTGTGCTCCAGTTCTCTGAATTAAGCCTGAATACCTTCCATTCCCCCCACCCCACAGGCGTTGTATAATCGTACGGGTTTAGCGCTTACCCATGATTAAAATAGTATTATACATTATGCAAATTACATGCTTTCTTTATATATATTTTTTAAATGTAATTGCAGCAATAAATGAGTCTATCCCATATCAAATTTGCTGCATCAGCATGACAGTCCTCTGTCTTGATTTATAATCGTTAATTTGGTTCTAAATCATGAGAATCTTCATTAATTGTCTTGATCATCCATAATTTCAATTATTTCTTTTTATCACATCCAAGGAGGTGTCTTGATCCAGGGACCTGGAGTTTCCCCTACCTTGGATCGAACCTCTCATTCCCCCAGTCCCTGTATACCCTCATGGGTTTAGTGCTTTCCCCTGTTTAAAATAAAATACCTTTTTATTAGTTTACATTTTATTATATATAATAAGTTTATTTAGGCATAGGTATACAAGTATCTTATCTTGCAATTATCATACTTAATGTAAATTACCAAGGGTAACCAAAAAAAAAGTCAGTGATTTATTTCCATAGTGATTTATTTCCATTGTAGATTCATACAGAAACCTGGTCTCTCAAAAAACTAAATAGGTCACAACAAGGAGACTAATTAGCCCAGGGCAAGCTAACATCCTTATATCAGTAAGTTTATTTAGGTACAGGTACACATAAGTACAATTATCATACATAGTAGCCCTTGTGGTTTAGTTCTTCTTCTGATTATAATTATAATAATAATAATAAATAACAAAAAAAGGCACAATACCGTGACTGGAACGATACACAAATAACCCGCACATAGAAGAGAGGAGCTTATGACGACGTTTTGGTCCGACTTGGACCATTTACAAAGTCACACTGACTTTGTAAATGGTCCAAGTCGGACCGAAATGTTGTCGTAAGCGCCACTCTTCTATGTGCGGGTTATATGTGTAATAATAATCATACATAGTACTAACATGTGTAAATATACTATGATAACCCCAGAAAGTCAGAATGACTTATTTCCATTGGAGTCCTTGTAATATCTTATTATTTAAAGCCCATCAGTAAGTTATAGTAGAAATCAATCATTATTAACTTTATTACACAAAGAACTAAATATATGGCAGTGCTTATCAAGCTAATAAAGGAAGTTCAAATTATTACTCTTAACAGGTTTAATGAAACAAAGTGAAATATAAAAAAAAAAATGGAAAAAATCTCAAATATTAAGTTGAGGTAAATTTTTGAAGACAAAAGCACCCTTCTGGCAAGACAGTGATGGAGTGAATGATGGTGAAAGTTTTTCTTTTTTTGGGCCACCCTGCCTTGGTGAGAATCGGCCAGTGTGTTAATAAAAAAATAATAAAAAAAAGAAATTAGTGTACTAACCAAAAAAAAAGGCACAAAAGTGTGACTTTGTAAATGGTTCGAGTTGGACCGAGACTTGGTCGTAAGCTCCTCTCTTCTATATGTGGGTTATTTGTGTATTAGTGTACTAATTTAAGTGACCTCATCCAAATAAACAGTAAATAAGAGACTAGATAACTTCACAACTATAGGATCAGATCTAGTCAGCAAAATTCCAACTCCCATGTACAAGTTAGTGATTAATTCTGTATATGTATACATGTATATGTATTATATACAAACTCTGTAGAGATAGGTTCAGAAAGAAATTTGCAAAAAAAAAAAAAAAAAGAAAGCAGGAAACAAGGCCAATATACTGCATTTCATATATAAGAAAGTTGTTCATGTGCTATCACCTGTCTTGACTTTTTTGGGTTATCCTAGGTAATCTACACATATGCTGCTAATCATGATAATTTATGTAACTGTATTTATGTGTACCTGTACCTGAACAAACTTACTTACCTACACCTGCCATTCTAAGGACCCCAATGGAAATAAGTCACCTTTTTAGGTTATCCCAGGAAATTTACACACGTTGCTAAGTCTCTAAATAAACTTGCTTGCAAACATTTTTTAACAAATCTCTAGAAGGCAAAACTTCTCATAAAATACTTAAATTAGCAAGAAAAACTTTTGATACAGTACACCACAGCATCCCCTGCTAGAATATTATGGAATTAGAGGCTATGATCATACACAGTCCTGCCTGAACAGGACACCAGCATGTGACTATTAATGACACTTCAGTACCTCATCAACTGTATATGAATAGTCTTATATACACCAACAGATATTTTAAGACAAAATATGCAGTTTATGGCCTTTTATTGAGGTGTGTTGTCCCTGGTGGAGAAAACATCTCGATAAAAGTGCCTATTGTCTTATTACATAACATTATTTAATCAACGTTATCTATAAACATAGGAGTGCCACACGTCAGTTTCCTAGGCCCTCTCTATTTGCCATCTATATTGATGACTTGTCAAATACTTCCCAGAAACTTGAATCAGTTCTGCTTGCTGATGACATATTTTGCCATCTCAAATCCAGATCTGGTTGTCCTCATCAACGTTGTTAATGATGAGCTTGTGAAGATATCTACTTGGATGACAACCAGTAAACTTACATGCAATGTTGATAACACCTGGATAATGTTTGGAAATAAGTCTAAGAATATTAAGAGACACCTTGATGAGACAAGTGGAAATTTCTTAGGTATACATATTGAAGCAAACTAATATTCAACTCTCACATCTCAGTGAATATGAATTAATGTAAATTTTGGTGTAGTTTTCAATACCAATTTTAATACAATTTGACAAACACTGTGACTCCACATGTCATCTTTACTTTTGCATCGTTTTGTGGAATATCAGATGCTGGCGTTTGGAGAGTCAGATTACCAAAAGCTCCAGCTGCGGGTCATTTGACTAAAACCTGCTTCAGGAAACGCTTGTCCTGTTTCCTGACAAGCCTAACCTATGAGGGGTCATTCAACCTTAGTGGGAGAAAACCAATCTGGTAAAAAAAAAAAAAGCAACTAACTTAATGTTCCGTACTGGGTTATCATTTACACTTACATGACAGAAGTTAGAGACCTGTTAGTATCTTTTCCTTCTGTAAATCATTCATTCTAATCACTCATCGCAATTAAATTTGCGTTCCCCATTTTTTGCAGTGTTCGTATAGATTTTATCCCACTCATTATACAGCATGCACAGGAGAAAAGTATTATGACATAACCACTTGCTTGTACACCTACTGTCATATCTCTCTGCCATAGGATTCAGTTTCATCCCTGACTTCCATTTGTATAAAGTATAAAAAAAAATTCCCATATTATTAGCAATTTGTTGATTAATCATTCAGCATCTATTTTTGTCACCAGTAAAGACTGGCCTTATCAGAAGTGGTGAACATTAAATGACAGTTATTCTTGTGCCTTTTATTGAACTAATATTCTATACACAAATAACCCACACATAGAAAGAAGCTTATGACGATGTTTCAGTCCAACTTGGACCATTAACCCGTAAACGGTCCAAGCAGATCTACGTTCACATGTGTAGTACTCCAAAAGTACATCTTCGTTTGTTTTACATATTTTCAAATATAACAAAAAAAAGTAAATCAAAGTTTTTTTACACATTTTCAAATGTAAAAAAAAAAAAAGAGATCTACTTTTTTACATACTTTCAAATGTTGAAAAAACATATATATAGTGGACCCCCGGTTTACGATATTATTTCATTCCAGAAGTATGTTCAGGTGCCAGTACTGACCGAATTTGTTCCCATAAGGAATATTGTGAAGTAGATTAGTCCATTTCAGACCCCCAAACATGCACGTACAAACGCACTTACATAAATACACTTACATAATTGGTTGCATTGGGAGCTGATCGTAAACCGGGGGTCCACTGTATACGTTTGGACTGTTTACGGGTTAACTAGCTACACACTAACACAAAAGGTAAGGGAGCCAGTACATGTACGTATATGAGAGGACGGCTGGAATGGGAGAAAGAGAGGGTTATTTGTGTATTGTTCCGGTCACAATATTGTGCCTTTTTATTTTTTATTTTATATTTCTTTAAAATGTCAATATTGTAATGTATTTATAATTTTTTTTTTCCACAGCAAATGGAAAGATTTAAAGTAGTAGAAAGAGAAACAAAGACCAAAGCATACAGTAAGGAGGGTCTCGGGGCAGCACAAAACAAAGACCCAGCGCAGCGAGAAAGAGAAGAAGTCAACAGTTGGCTTAGTTCCTCTATAGATACCTTAAATATACAGGTGAGTTTTATGTGCTTTGAGATTTGGGGCACTAGATTATCAGGGTGCATGTGTTTATGGCACAGTTACCCTTGAAAGGTACTTAATTTTTCAAAAAAATGTGTAAATAGGTACTGGGTTGTAAAATTTAGACTTGTATAATGAAGAACCATAGTACAGTAGTGAACTGTTGTCTTTCAAGATTGTAATTAAAGGCTAATTTAAAATCTTGTGGTGAAACTCAAAAATGTAGCAGTAAAGATATGCATTGTGGAATTTTTTTTATATAAAGCATAGCATTCATTACAAATTTTTTTTATTTTTTTATTATCACACTGGCCGATTCCCAGCAAGGCAGGGTGGCCCGAAAAAGAAAAACTTTCACCATCATTCACTCCATCACTGTCTTGCCAGAAGGGTGCTTTACACTACAGTTTTTAAACTGCAACATTAACACCCCTCCTTCAGAGTGCAGGCACTGTACTTCCCATCTCCAGGACTCAAGTCCGGCCTGCCGGTTTCCCTGAACCCCTTCATAAATGTTACTTTGCTCACACTCCAACAGCACGTCAAGTATTAAAAACCATTCGTCTCCATTCACTCCTATCAAACACGTTCACGCATGCCTGCTGGAAGTCCAAGCCCCTCGCACACAAAACCTCCTTTACCCCCTCCCTCCAACCTTTCCTAGGCCGACCCCTACCCCGCCTTCCTTCCACTACAGACTGATACACCCTTGAAGTCATTCTGTTTCGCTCCATTCTCTCTACATGTCCGAACCACCTCAACAACCCTTCCTCAGCCCTCTGGACAACAGTTTTGGTAATCCCGCACCTCCTCCTAACTTCCAAACTACGAATTCTCTGCATTATAAATGTAACTGTATAAATGCCTAATAATTTACAAAAGCACTTACAGTATATCCTATATAACTTAGCATTTGTGTTCCTGCAAAATTATTTGTTGAATGGATCCACATTTTTCAATTCACATGATCCTGTTGAAGCTGTAATAAATTACTCTCCTAAAAAAAATATTTTTTGTACAAGAATGATATACAATACCGACAAGATGAAATTGAGACACATGTGCAACATCTGGGTATCTTTATTGTAGACGTGTCGCCATCCAGTGGCTTTATCAATATAAATTCCAGGACATAATTTGAAGACAGGAGAACTATGTACAGAAGATGAGGTAATCAGTCCCTCAACCTAGCAGTAGGTGCGAAGAGCACGGACTGCACTGCATTCCCCATGAAAGGAACAGAGCAAGGCTAGCCACATAAACTAGATTGTATCATCATCTCAGAGACAGGTTGAGCTGAACACAAACCCAGTGACTGCCACATCCGATGCTAGCTACTGAATAACATTCCAGCTCAGAAAATAACACATTAATAATAATAATGATATAATAGTGTAAAGCACCCTTCTGGCAAGACAGTGATGGAGTGAATGATGGTGAAAGTTTTTCTTTTTCGGGCCACCCTGCCTTGGTGGGAATCGGCCAGTGTGTTAATAAATAAAATATAATATCTTTATTTCTACATGTACAAGGTATACAGGCCTAGCTGACATCAGTGACATACTATATAGAAAACTGCTTGTTATGCTGAGCATTTCAGGCAAATTAGGTTAGTTTTGTCCCAGGATGCAACCCACACCAGTCCACTAACACCCAGGTACCCATTTTATACTGATGGGTGAACAGGGACAGCAGGTGTCTTATGGAAACACGTCCCTGTTTTCCAGCCGTACCGGAGATTCAAACTCCAGACCTCAGTGTGTGAGCTAAGGGACACATTGTGTCTCACCAAAGGTTGAATGAGTTCACTTCTTGAAATTGTTATATTTCCACCTTAGTTTCCGTAGGGTTTTGTATATTTTTACCGCCTAGGTTCTGCCACTACTTGAAACGCTAAGAATTGAATCATGTTGACACTTCAAATTCTTTGCGCTCTCTTGTTTTGAGTAGCGTTCAGTTTTGACGGCTCTGTTCAGGGTGAGATAAATATCAGAGCTGGAATAGATACAGAGATTATTTACATTAGTGTAAGATGAACCCAGTGAAGAGTAGGGGCTCAGTGGGCACAACAAGAGAACACTGTATCATCATTTGTGGTCCCAGATTGTTCATCATCTTACCATCAACTTCACCATCACTCATACATAATCACTGTCTTTGCAGAGGTGCTCAGATACAACAGCTTAGATGTCTCTTCAAACTGCCAGTATCCAAAACCCCTCCTTTAAAGTACAGACATAATACTTCCCATTTCCTGGACTCAAGTCCGGCTAACCAGTTTCTCTGAATCCCTTCACAAAGTTTTACCCTGCTCACACTGCAACAACTCGTCAGGTTCCAAAAAACATTCATCTGCATTCACTCCTATGTAACATGCTCTCACACACTTGCTGGAAGTTCAAACCCATTCGCCCACAGTCTCCTTCACCCCTCCCCCCCAACCTTTTCGTGGACGACCCCTACCCCTCTCTCTTTTCCCTACAGATTTATACTCTCTCCAAGTCATTCTACTTTGTTCCATTCTCTCTAAATGACCAAACCACCTCAACAACCCATCTTCAGCCCTCTGACTAATACTTTTATTAACTCCACACCTCCTCCTAACTTCCACTACGAATTCTCTGCATAATATTTACATCACACATTGCCCTTAGGAATGACATCTCCACTGCCTCTTTGCTGCAGCATTTACAACCCAATCTTTACACCCATATAAGAGTGTTGGTACCACTCCCGTACATTTGTATACATCACATATATGATGAACTCTTGACTGTTCATTGAATGTTTCTTTAATTTTTTTCTTTTGAAAATACCACCGGGGGCCTGGCAGTACATGTAGTCCAGGGGCGTACAAAATCCTAATCCAGCTCTGCAGCCCCTTTAAATTCCATAAGCTCCTGCTTGCATGGACTTCTCTATGTATTAAGTCTATTACACTACTTATATTTTCCATTAAAACATTGGACTATTTAATATATAATAATCAAAGGGATTATGGATGAGGGAGGAACTGTAACAGAAAATAAAATTGTGAAATTGTATAGCTTTTATTATTCTCTATTTATGTTGTGAATATATTCTGTGCTTATTTTTTTTCAGATGGACCAATTTGAATCAGAAATTGAGTCTTTACTAGCAACGCAAAAGAAGAAGAAGATGGATAAAGACAAGTCGGATCGGATAGAAGACCTCAAGGAATATATAGATAGACATCAGTACCACATCAAGAAGTTGGAGATTCTTATGAGAATGCTCGACAACCAATCCATAGACTGTGATCAGGTCAATATTTTGTGGTTTCCCTAATTCATGACTAAGTGCATGAAGAAAGTGGGTGATAAATTGTTTAGGTAATGCACGTCTTGAGAGTAAACTGTGAATATTAGTGAGGGCCCTGAAGAAGAATATTGGGACAGGTTTGTGTTCCAGTGATGCAGAGTAGAGGTGGATGGCTACTGTCTTGGGAAAATATATACAGTGGACCCCCGGTTTACGATATTATTTCATTCCAGAAGTATGTTCAGGTGCCACTACTGAACGAATTTGTTCCCATAAGGAATATTGTGAATTAGATTAGTCCATTTCAGACCCTCAAACATACACATACAAACACTTACATAAATACACTTACATAATTGGTCGCATTGGGAGGTGATCGTAAACCGGGGGTCCACTGTACAGTGAAACCTTGGTTTTCGTATCCCCTAGTTTATATGTAAAACTATAGTTATTCTCTATAAAATGTATTTTTTGTTAATATTTCTCATAAGAAATAATGTAAATCCAATTAATCCGTTCCAGACACCCAAAAATATTAACAAAAAATACATTTTATAGAGAATAACTATAGTTTTGCATGCAACCTTGGGCATACGAAAACCCAGGTTTCACTGTACAGTACAGTGGAACCTCAAAAATTGAACTGCTCCCAACACAACCAATTATGTAAGTGTATTTTTGTAAGTGCTTTTATAAGTGTATTTTTGAGGGTCTGAAATGGACTAATCTAATTTACATTATTCCTGATGGGAATAAATTAATTCGGTAAAGGCACTCAAACAGCCTTCTGGACCAAAGAAAGTTCGATATTTGAGGTTCCACTGTATATGCTTTGTGATTGTATTTTTATAGAATAAAAGATGGAGAAAAAGTACAGTAAAAAGGAGATGTATATATGCAGTGTTGTATTACAGGATTAAGGAAAAAATTGTAGGAGATATTGAAAGAGAACTTTAAGGGCATTTTATTACACAAAAAAAAAAGGAATAAGAAATTATTTAAAAAAGAGAGAACATGAAGTAAGATGATTGAATGAGACTGTAAGTGCCACTATCCCCAGCCCACCCGCCCCAAATCAAAATATTGAATAATTCACTTACCATGAGGAAGTGGAACAGAATTCTTTCTCCACCAGTTGTTGTAATAGGCCACTAAAATGCTGGGAGCAAGGGGCTAGTAACCCCTTCTGTATACATTACTAAATTTAAATTCTTTTTCGGTCGTCCTGCCTCAGCGGGATACGGCCAGTTTGTTGAAAAATGATATAGTATATAGATACATTTGTACTCTGTCAGGAGATGGTGGAAATAATCTTTCCTGCTGGAGTGCTCATTACAGATATCTTGTAGTTTTAGCACTTCTTTTTGATTATAATGATAATCACTACAGATGTATCAAACCATACCACGGGTGGGATTGAACCCGCGGGTTCAATCCCGCCCGTGGTATGGTTTGTTTGCAATCGTGTCATTACAGATTATGTTATAATGATGACCTGTCACTGAATGGTTGGGCTTGCATATTCTTACATAATTAGCCTACTTAAGTACGTATTTAGTTGTTTATGGTTATGGAAGAAATCACACTAAAACGTGATTGCAATTATGAAAAAAATATCACTGAAAATAGGAAATTTAACCTGAGTGCTTTCATGTGCTTACACAGTTATTGTTTGAAGATGTGTGTATAAGCACGCACACACGTGTGTGCCACGCCACGCCATGTGTGCTGCGGCTAGGAAATTAAACAATTCACACGTGATAATTTAATCATAAAATGATGTCCACAAGTATAGCTATTTAAAAGTAAGTACAGTGGTCCCTCAATAATCGTCCGTAATCCGTTCCTGGAAGTGGGACTATTATCGAAATGGACGATTTACGAATCAATTTTCCCCATAAGAAATAATGTAAATTCAATTAATCCGTTCCTGACACCCAGAAGTATTAAAACAAAAAAATTTTTTACATGAAATGTAGATGTAGTACATAAACAATACAGTGGCACATGATGAATTAAACATTAACAGAATAACACTTACCTTTATTGGCGATTCTTCTTTGTGTATGGAAGACTGGAGAAGGAGACTGATTGGATGAATTACTGTTTGGAAGGGGAATCCCCTTCCATCAACACCTTGGGTACCAATTGCTTTTCTGGGGTTACTTCTCTTCTCTGTTTCTTAATGCCACTAGGACCACCTTGAGAGTCACTGGAGTCCTGTCTCGCAAAAAAACTGTCCAGAGAGCTCTGTTTCTGGCGTCTCTTTAAAACTTCCCTAAAATGGGCCAAGACTCTGCCGATATGGCTTGCAACATCCTTCTCTGGGTGATGTTTCTCCATAAATCTTTCCATCCTACCCCACATTTCAAAAATCTCCTTAATTTCTGAAGAAGGCACCTTCCTCCATCTCTCTTCCTCCTCCTCTGCAGCAAGATTCAGAGCTGCCATCTGTTGCTGTTCCTGCTGAAGCTCTTGCAGCTCCTCAGTGGTTAGCTCTTTGTTGTGGTCCTCCACCAACTCTTCCACATCCTCCAAACTCACATCCAACCCCATGGAAGCCCCCAGTGCCACAATGGATTTAACAAGTGACATAGGCTCATCAGGGTCAGCCCCAAACCCTTCAAAATCCCTCTTGTGGACACAATCTGGCCACAATTTTCTCCAAGCAGAGTTCAAAGTCCTGGTAGTCACTCCCTCCCAAGCCTTACCTATAAGGCTTACACAGTGGAGAAGACTGAAATGTTCTTTCCAAAAATCTCGTAGGGTCAAGTGAGTGTCTGAGGTCACATTCAAGCACCTTTCAAACATTGCTTTGGTGTAGAGTTTTTTAAAGTTTGCAATGACCTGCTGGTCCATGGGTTGGAGGAGAGGAGTGGTATTCGGGGGCAAGAACTTTACTGTGATGAACCCAAACTCCTTCAGAATTAGGTCATCCAAGTTTGGAGGATGAGCAGGTGCATTGTCCATTACTAGGAGGCACTTGAGATCCAATTTCTTTTCCAGGAGGTAATTCTTCACACTAGGACCAAACACTTCATTGAACCACTCTACAAAAATTTCCCTCGTGACCCATGCCTTACTATTAGATTTCCAAAACACACACAATTTACTCTTCATAACATTGTTTTTCCTGAACACTCTGGGATTTTCAGAATGGTACACTAGTAATGGCTTCATTTTGAAATCCCCACTAGCATTAGCACAGAACATTAGCGTCAGCCTGTCTTTCATAGGCTTGTGTCCTGGCATTACCTTTTCCTCTTGTGTAATGAAGGTCCTCTTTGGCATTTTCTTCCAAAAGAGGCCTGTTTCGTCACAATTGAACACTTGTTCAGGTTTCAGTCCTTCACTGTTTATGTACTCCTGGAATTCATGCACATATTTTTCAGCTGCCTTGTGGTCCGAACTGGCAGCCTCACCATGCCTTACCACACTGTGTATGCCAGTACGCTTCTTAAATCTCTCAAACCAGCCTTTGCTAGCCTTAAATTCACTCACATCATCACTAGTTGCAGTCAATTTCTTTACCAAACCGTCATGCAACTGCCTAGCCTTTTCACAAATAAGCGACGTCATAAGACTGTCTCCTGCTAATTGTTTCTCATTTATTTTTTTTATTATTTTTTTATTATTATCACACTGGCCGATTCCCACCAAGGCAGGGTGGCCCGAAAAAGAAAAACTTTCACCATCATTCACTCCATCACTGTCTTGCCAGAAGGGTGCTTTACACTACAGTTTTTAAACTGCAACATTAACACCCCTCCTTCAGAGTGCAGGCACTGTACTTCCCATCTCCAGGACTCAAGTCCGGCCTGCCGGTTTCCCTGAATCCCTTCATAAATGTTACTTTGCTCACACTCCAACAGCACGTCAAGTATTAAAAACCATTTGTCTCCATTCACTCCTATCAAACACGCTCACGCATGCCTGCTGGAAGTCCAAGCCCCTCGCACACAAAACCTCCTTTACCCCCTCCCTCCAACCCTTCCTAGGCCGACCCCTACCCCGCCTTCCTTCCACTACAGACTGATACACTCTTGAAGTTATTCTGTTTCGCTCCATTCTCTCTACATGTCCGAACCACCTCAACAACCCTTCCTCAGCCCTCTGGACAACAGTTTTGGTAATCCCGCACCTCCTCCTAACTTCCAAACTACGAATTCTCTGCATTATATTCACACCACACATTGCCCTCAGACATGACATCTCCACTGCCTCCAGCCTTCTCCTCGCTGCAACATTCATCACCCATGCTTCACACCCATATAAGAGCGTTGGTAAAACTATACTCTCATACATTCCCCTCTTTGCCTCCAAGGACAAAGTTCTCTGTCTCCACAGACTCCTAAGTGCACCACTCACTCTTTTTCCCTCATCAATTCTATGATTCACCTCATCTTTCATAGACCCATCCGCTGACACGTCCACTCCCAAATATCTGAATACGTTCACCTCCTCCATACTCTCTCCCTCCAATCTGATATTCAATCTTTCATCACCTAATCTTTTTGTTATCCTCATAACCTTACTCTTTCCTGTATTCACCTTTAATTTTCTTCTTTTGCACACCCTACCAAATTCATCCACCAATCTCTGCAGCTTCTCTTCAGAATCTCCCAAGAGCACAGTGTCATCAGCAAAGAGCAGCTGTGACAACTCCCACCCTGTGTGTGATTCTTTATCTTTTAACTCCACGCCTCTTGCCAAGACCCTCGCATTTACTTCTCTTACAACCCCATCTATAAATATATTAAACAACCACGGTGACATCACACATCCTTGTCTAAGGCCTACTTTTACTGGGAAAAAATTTCCCTCTTTTCTACATACTCTAACTTGAGCCTCACTATCCTCGTAAAAACTCTTCACTGCTTTCAGTAACCTACCTCCTACACCATACACTTGCAACATCTGCCACATTGCCCCCCTATCCACCCTGTCATACGCCTTTTCCAAATCCATAAATGCCACAAAGACCTCTTTAGCCTTATCTAAATACTGTTCACTTATATGTTTCACTGTAAACACCTGGTCCACACACCCCCTACCTTTCCTAAAGCCTCCTTGTTCATCTGCTATCCTATTCTCCGTCTTACTCTTAATTCTTTCAATTATAACTCTACCATACACTTTACCAGGTACACTCAACAGACTTATCCCCCTATAATTTTTGCACTCTCTTTTATCCCCTTTGCCTTTATACAAAGGAACTATGCATGCTCTCTGCCAATCCCTAGGTACCTTACCCTCTTCCATACATTTATTAAATAATTGCACCAACCACTCCAAAACTATATCCCCACCTGCTTTTAACATTTCTATCTTTATCCCATCAATCCCGGCTGCCTTACCCCCTTTCATTTTACCTACTGCCTCACGAACTTCCCCCACACTCACAACTGGCTCTTCCTCACTCCTACAAGATGTTATTCCTCCTTGCCCTATACACGAAATCACAGCTTCCCTATCTTCATCAACATTTAACAATTCCTCAAAATATTCCCTCCATCTTCCCAATACCTCTAACTCTCCATTTAATAACTCTCCTCTCCTATTTTTAACTGACAAATCCATTTGTTCTCTAGGCTTCCTTAACTTGTTAATCTCACTCCAAAACTTTTTCTTATTTTCAACAAAATTTGTTGATAACAGCTCACCCACTCTCTCATTTGCTCTCTTTTTACATTGCTTCACCACTCTCTTAACCTCTCTCTTTTTCTCCATATACTCTTCCCTCCTTGCATCACTTCTACTTTGTAAAAACTTCTCATATGCTAACTTTTTCTCCCTTACTACTCTCTTTACATCATCATTCCACCAATCGCTCCTCTTCCCTCCTGCACCCACTTTCCTGTAACCACAAACTTCTGCTGAACACTCTAACACTACATTTTTAAACCTACCCCATTCCTCTTCGACCCCATTGCCTATGCTCTCATTAGCCCATCTATCCTCCAATAGCTGTTTATATCTTACCCTAACTGCCTCCTCTTTTAGTTTATAAACCTTCACCTCTCTCTTCCCTGATGCTTCTATTCTCCTTGTATCCCATCTACCTTTTACTCTCAGTGTAGCTACAACTAGAAAGTGATCTGATATATCTGTGGCCCCTCGATAAACATGTACATCCTGAAGTCTACTCAACAGTCTTTTATCTACTAATACATAATCCAACAAACTACTGTCATTTCGCCCTACATCATATCGTGTATACTTATTTATCCTCTTTTTCTTAAAATATGTATTACCTATAACTAAACCCCTTTCTATACAAAGTTCAATCAAAGGGCTCCCATTATCATTTACACCTGGCACCCCAAACTTACCTACCACACCCTCTCTAAAAGTTTCTCCTACTTTAGCATTCAGGTCCCCTACCACAATTACTCTCTCACTTGGTTCAAAGGCTCCTATACATTCACTTAACATCTCCCAAAATCTCTCTCTCTCCTCTGCATTCCTCTCTTCTCCAGGTGCATACACGCTTATTATGACCCACTTCTCGCATCCAACCTTTACTTTAATCCACATAATTCTCGAATTTACACATTCATATTCTCTTTTCTCCTTCCATAACTGATCATTTAACATTACTGCTACCCCTTCCTTTGCTCTAACTCTCTCAGATACTCCAGATTTAATCCCATTTATTTCCCCCCACTGAAACTCTCCTACCCCCTTCAGCTTTGTTTCGCTTAGAGCCAGGACATCCAACTTCTTTTCATTCATAACATCAGCAATCATCTGTTTCTTGTCATCCGCACTACATCCACGCACATTTAAACAACCCAGTTTTATAAAGTTTTTCTTCTTCTCTTTTTTAGTAAATGTATACAGGAGAAGGGGTTACTAGCCCATTGCTCCCGGCATTTTAGTCGCCTCATACGACACGCATGGCTTACGGAGGAAAGATTCTTTTCCACTTCCCCATGGACAATAGAAGAAATAAACAAGAACAAGAGCTATTTAGAATAAGGAGAAAAACCTAGAAGTATATATATATATGCATGTGCGTGTCTGTGAAGTGTGACCAAAGTGTAAGTAGGAGTAGCAAGATATCCCTGTTATCTAGCGTGTTTATGAGACAGAAAAAGAAAACCAGCAATCCTACCATCATGCAAAACAGTTACAGGTTTTTGTTTCACAGTCATCTGGCAGGACAGTAGTACTTCCCTGGGTGGTTGCTGTCTACCAACCTACTACCTACACCAATAATAACTTCTCAACATCTTCGAGTACTGGTGATCTCATTTTTGTCAGCATATTTACCCCCTTTGCAACAACAGCGTCCTTGATTTCCTTTTTCTTGGCTATGATGGAAGATATGGTTGTACGGGATTTGTTATACATCCTGGCCAGTTCGCCCACACGTACGCCACTATCATATTGTTCAATGATGTTTTTCTTAAATTCAATCGTATTTCTCACCTTCTTTACCAAAGGCTTGGCACTAGGAGTTTTCTTTGGAGCCATGGTAGCTTATTTAGCACTTAAATAACTTGCAAGCACTAAAATAAATGAAATGTTATGAAATATTTCACTGGAGCACGTGAGGGGACCGTCGCTCACTTGTAAACAGTGGCACACTGGCTGGGAAGGAAAGGCTGAGGCGGCCCGAGGCCGCTCAGACCGTGCATACGCGTCTGGGACGAAGGACTATTAGCGAGTTACCGGACCATTTCCAAGCCAATATTTCAACGAAAAAACAGGACTATTTCCGAAATGGACGACTTTCAGGCCGGACGATTATTGAGGGACCACTGTAACTGTAAATAGTTACTGCAATTATACCACTAGTTGCACCTTCCCCATTTATACTCTAATGATGTCCTGCTACAGTGCAGTAGTCTCCCCATATCCGTGGGGGATACATTCCAAGACCTACCTTGGATACCCGAAGCTGCGGATAGTAGTGAATCCTATATATAAGTTGCTTTTCGTTTACATTCATACCTACTATAGTTTAATTGATAAATTATACACAATAAGTTGAGAATTAACACTTTTTCACTGATGGGAAGCACTTAATGGCCTCTCTTAGGCCTTGAAGAACTGTCAGCATCACTAATCATTATTAACCGTAATTAAGGGGGTTATTTTCGGGTCACAGTAGACTGCAGAAACCAATTCCGTGGATACGGGGGTTCTGCTGTATATTAATTGGCTTTAATATTTGGATGTGAACAACTAAATGTTGAGGATTTTCAAATACTATACAGGTGCTCCTCACTTTCTGATGGTTAGACATACAATAATTTGACTTTACAATGGTTGCAGTAGCAATGCACATTTGGTAGTCATCAAACTTTTTTCCGTATTTAACCAAATTTTCCCAAGTCCATTATGTCTTACTAAATGCCTAAGTGTGTGTCCTACTTCTGGTATTTAGTTAGTTATAGTCATTGTTTATTTAGTTATTCAGCAAGAGTAGTTGTTTATTTATTTTTTTTTTTTTTTTTCAACAAGTCAGCCGTCTCCCACCAAGGCAGGGTGACCCAAAAAAGAAAGAAAATCCCCAAAAAGAAAATACTTTCATCATCATTCAACACTTTCACCACACTCACACATTATCACTGTTTTTGCAGAGGTGCTCAGAATACAACGGTTTAGAAGCATACACATATAAAGATACACAACATATCACATATTCTTTGGAACATAACTCAATTGTAAGGCGAGGAGCACCTATATTGTCAAATAAAGCAAATTAACTATTTTCATTTTTGTTTAATTTGCAGATTAAAATGATTAAAGAAGATGTTGAATACTACATCGAGTCCTCGCAAGACCCAGATTTCAGTGAAAACCTTGGGCTATACGATGACATTGACATGGACGACTTGGACTATCCAACACCTGAAATAACTGTAGGCAAAGTAAGTGAAGTACTTAACATACTAACCCTTCCTGCCTTTGATCTCAATAGATGAAGTAGTTGCATGGTCAGGGGTTCCATCAAAGGCAGGAGGAGGGGGGTTACTTCTTTGGGATGTGGGGGGAGTCATGGGAAGTGCAAAGTTACTCTAGCTTTCAATTGTTTTGGAATTGTATTCATTTTGGAGGTGAGAACCTCGATAGGAAAACCTATAAGAAGAAACCCTCATTGCTTTTGTAGGTAGTTTTCTATACTGGGGCAGATGTATTATAAAAGAGTTTTATTTCTGGCAGAAAGCATGGAATTTGGTATGTAGGAGTTTTTAGGAATGCTGAGTTAAATAAAAATGTAGACAACTCATACTAGCAAGGTATCATCAAAGTGGGGGTGGTGTAAGTTAGTTAAAATTTTGGGAAACAGAACAGTGTGATGTTTTTATATATTTTTTTCCACACGCCAGACGTCTCCCACCAAGGCACGGGGACTTAAAATGAAAAACAAAAAGTTTTTCTTTTAACTTTTAGTAATATATACAAGAGAAGACATTACTAGCTCCTCGTTTTTATATATTTTCATTTTTTTTTTTTTTTTCAACAAACTGGCCGTATCCCACCAAGGCAGGGTGGCCCAGAAGGAAAAACGAAAGTATATTTTCAAATACAGTGGACCCCCGGTTAACGATATTTTTTCACTCCATAAGTATGTTCAGGTGCCAGTACTGACCGAATTTATTCCCATAAGGAATATTGTGAAGTAGATTAGTCCATTTCAGACCCCCAAACATACACGTACAAACGCACTTACATAAATACACTAACATAATTGGTCGCATTCAGAGGTAATCGTTATGCGGGGGTCCACTGTATACATTTTTTTTTATTTTAACACACCGGCCATTTTCCACAAAGGTAGGGTGACCCAAAAACAAAACAGAAGCATTTCATAAACTCTTTGGATGGAAGGGGGTTAGTTTTTCTTATCTTTCACCCAACTCCAATATTTTTGTGAAGGCCATCTAGTATGCCTGGAGGGTGTTCTGGGGGTCAACACCCTGATGGCTCGATCCATGACCAGGCCTCCTGTGCAGTTGTTTTGTCAGTTTTAGTTTTTTTTTTTTTTTTTTTTTTTTTTCAACAAGTCGGCCGTCTCCCACCGAGGCAGGTTATTACAGCCAGTCAATTTATGCAGAAATAGTAGTCTTTGGGACCACTTGGTCCTGAGTCACTGCAGTGATTTGAGGAGAAATATATGTACTGGAACAACTTTACATATCCATTGTCTACCCAAATTTCACAGTCATGAAGGACATTGGCTGTTCTCATAACAGGAGCAGCTACTATGTTTGTGGGTTGCATTCAATCTTTTCCTGCAGCCTTCTCCAGGCAAATGCTATGTGTAACAGCATTCTGCCATCTGCCTTTTTTTGTGTGTATAATTCAAGTTGATACACACACAGTGAGCTGGCTAGACATAGCCTCCTCTTTGCATTGTGTGAGGACTCTGCTGTCTTCCAGGCACTTGTTAGAAGCTCAAGTGCCAGGTTTTGCTGGAATCATTTTTTTTTCTAGTTTTGGAATACATACCATAAAGCATTTCTTTTTCAACACCAGCCATGTCCCACCGAGACAGGTGATCTAAAAAAGAAAAATTAAAATTTTTCTTTTTAAATTTAGTAATGTGTACAGGAGAAGGGGTTACTAGCTCCTTGCTCCCGGCATTTTAGTTGCCTCTTATAACATGCATGGCTTAAGGAGGAGGAATTCTTTTCCACTTCCCCATGGAAATAAAACACAACTTTGCTAAATCATTCTCTTTTGTATCTTAATCCGTGAAGTGATGACTAGCATTCACAGTCAGTAAATCAGAATGTCTGTAAATGCAGCAGCTACATTGTTTGTGTCTCATATAAGAAGGTTTCTAAAGGCTTGGTGAATTATCACCTTTTTTCATAGCTATATTTACCTAGCATCTTTTTACTTTAGGGACAAGCATCATCCTGTATTTTGATTCAGCTTCATTTTCTGGTACTTTAATAACATGTTAGGTAAAAGGACACAGATTCAGCTAATGTGACATTTTACTGTGGCAATGTTTCACTCTCTAGGAACTTCTGGAGAGTGAAATGTTTTTACCTAACATTTTGTTAGTAATTTTACCATTATTTTAATGGCGCTTTTTTTTCCTCCTCCATCTTCTCGAAACCTAGATCCATCTCATCGATATTACCATTTTTAACATAAAACGTATACAAAATAGCTTTTACATGGTGTGTTGTTTGATGTACGGTAAGATCACAATTATTTTTTTAAAATGTAACCAACCTAGACAACCACCTAACCCCAATTTGACATTAATACATTGCTAATAACTCAGTCTACATATTTATTATTCTGCATTTTGTAAAACCTCTATTTAGTATGTCAAATTTCAATCTGTCTGCCAGAAATAATTCTCTTTAAATATTTATCTTATATCTGAACCATTATTAGTTAAATCTGGTGATTAGACCATTATATTTTGTCTTTGCTTGTTTTTTGAATTTTCTGTATTTTTTTTTTTACTTTCAGTAGTGGAGCCCCTGAATATGAAAGGGGAATGGCATTTGCATTTTTATTCGAGTATCTAAATAAAATGTTTAATATTTGTCAAGTAAGTTAAGCAAGATTATGAAATGTGCTGCATTATCAATTCTGAAAATAGACACTCACACATGCTTCAGATTTATTATTTTATTGACCGAAGAGACGGACAGGTGCTAAGTAAGCTTTTTTTTTTTTTTTTTTTTTATGACATTTCTTTCTCGAGCTTTTGAAGTCCTTGATAAAGCTCTACACAGTGAAACAGTGTTGCACTAAAACCTTGTTCTTGTGGTATGGTTTTTTATGAATATTAAGTTTGTTCTTTCTTGGGATCTTCCTTCTTTGAGAAAGAAGAGTAATCTTAAAGTGAATCATCCTTCTCAAATATTTTGTCTTCCTTGAAGTGTTATAAGAGTGAATCCTCTCCAAACCTTTCATCTTCCTTGAAATGTTGCTGAGTGAATACTCTCTGAACATTTCACCTTCCTTGAAGTGTTGCTGAGTGAATCCTCTCTGAACATTTCACCTTCCTTGAAGTGTTGCTGAGTGAATACTCTCTGAACATTTCACCTTCCTTGAAGTGTTGCTGAGTGAATCCTCTCTGAACATTTCACCTTCCTTGAAGTGTTGCTGAGTGAATACTCTCTGAACATTTCACCTTCCTTGAAGTGTTGCTGAGTGAATACTCTCTGAACATTTCATTTTCCTTGAAGTGTTGTAGAGTGAATCCTCGCCAAACATTTTGCCGTGAAGTGTAAATATTACAGCAGTACCTGAAACGCTTGTCCAAGAATTTCACTTTCTGATGAGGGTATCAATAGGTCCGTCATATGTTTCACAATATTTGAGATCATAGATGAATCACTTCTCTTCACGTATTTCATTTCTTAGTACATTTCACTCTGTAATACGTACAAGTACATTTAAATGCAGAAATAATGATCACTATTGACATAAGTGAGGATCTTTCTTTCTTTCAACGCACCAGCCGTATCCCACTGAGGCGGGGTGACCCAAAAGGAAAAACGAAAGTTTCTCCTTTTAAATTTAGTAATATATACAGGAAAAGGGGTTACTAGCCCCTTGCTCCCAGCACTTTAGTCTCCTCTTACGACACGCATGGCTTATGGAGGAAGAATTCTGTTCCACTTCCCCATGGAAAAAGTGAGGATCATGTGCACTAATATCTCAATGGGCTTAAGCCTTCAAGATGTCTATTTGTTGTTGAGGGGTTCTTGATCCAAGGAATTGGAACTGCCTTCCCCTTCCTTGTATCAAACCTCATTACTTCCCATTCTCCCAGATGTTGTACAACCCTTATAGTGCTTTTTCATAAATAAGCCTAAACCTCTTAAATCTTTCACTCACAACCATTAAAAGTGCTGACAGTATTGTGATTTATATAAAAAAATCTGAAATAGTAGCAAATCTTTTTCTGAAGGTAATTACACAAACAGTGAGGAATTTGATAGAATGCATTTCAGAGCCCTCAAAAAGTAGAGGGAGAGAACTTCCCCTCATCACATGAGAAGTTTCCCCTTCTCATCCCCTCATCACATGAGAAGTTTCCCCTTCTCATCCCCTCATCACATGAGAAGTTTCCCTTTCTCATCCCCTCAACACAAGAAGTTTCCCTTTCTCATCCCCTCAACACAAGAAGTTTCCCCTTCTCATCCCCTCAACACGAGAAGTTTCCCTTTCTCATCCCCTCAACACAAGAAGTTTCCCTTTCTCATCCCCTCAACACGAGAAGTTTCCCTTTCTCATCCCCTCAACACAAGAAGTTTCCCTTTCTCATCCCCTCATCACATGAGAAGTTTCCCTTTCTCATACTTTTCTATCCCTGAAAACTTTTCATTTACACAGTGCCATACCTCCATTGTTCTTTTTAAAAAAAAAAAAAAGTCTGATAATTTCATTTTTCTTATTTCAAAGACAGTACGACAGACCTCAAACGTGCACCAGTGAAGTTTCTTCAGTGACAACAGGAGACCCCCACATATATAACACCTTTTTGGAGTTCCATGTTTTCGTTGGCTTCAAACCGAGCCATTGTTCATTATGTTCCACCCACCAGTGATAGTCACTGGCAGGTGGAACAATGGCTCAATTGAAAGCCAATGAAAATGTGGAACACCGAAAATAAACATTGTACACCTACCATCCGACTTACGACCGAGTTCAGTCACGAGAAACCGGTCGTAAGTCGAAATGGTCGTAAGTTGAACTTTATTACAGAATATCAACAAAACATTTTTGTAATGACTTTAGTTTATTGTTTTATTTTGGTATTTCATGTTTTACTTTACTTTTTATGTTGTTAGCACTGTATTTTATACTGTAAGGTTTAGGATAAACACTGTGTACAACACAAATAGTTGTTTATTTCCCAGAAATTTGGCATAAAAAACACGGTCGTAAG